TCTATTCAGATAGTCTCAGGACTGTACTTCTTATGACTTCTGACCACACTTATGACTACTTGCTCGTTTCTGCTGTGGCTTCTTTTACAGTTAAACTATACTGATCATACCAGAAATGATACTACGCCTTATTTTAAAAGAATAGTCGCTATATAATTAATTTTCAATACATACATTAGTGGTGTCCAGCGTGCTGGTTATAAGAGCAAGATTTTCTATATTTTAGATACTTATAGTTTAGCATTAGCCATATAGTGAGCGTTATTCACAGACATTTGCCCGTAGCAGACAATGAGTATTTCAGACTTGGTAAATGTTTGTACTTTATCCCTCCCAAATATTTGCTAATTAAGTGCATTTGGCAAGAGTTGGCGTTTCTCTAGCAGATTTTGTGTCGTTATGCAAGATGTCGCATTCATAAGAACAAAAAAATGCAATTTTACAAATTTTTGTAAAATTAAATTACAGGTTCAAGTTTCAATGATATTAGAGAGGAATTAGATTACTCTAATATTCTTTTGGATGAACGCACCAACGTACAACAAAATAAAATCCTGCTTTTCTTTCTGGTTTGGATCATGAAAACGAATATCTGTTAATTGAGATATGAATTTTAGCTAAATGTTGGCTTTCAATAAGCTTGCAATGGTATAAATTATATAAACAGTACTAAATGGTAAGTATATTAAGGATTATGATCTAAATTTAATGTTACAGAAGGAAATGTTCCCAATCTCTAAAATATTGAAAGTTCCTTATCCAACATAGAGGCTGTGAAATTCTTTGCTTTTAAAAATTTTATTATAAGACATTAAGGGCAATTTCGCAAAGCTGAATTGCCAAAAGGATCTTCATTGGTCATTCTGTTCAATGTTCAAATGGTTAAGGAAAAACACATTTTTCCTCACACACCTACTAAAGAATAAGCTTATTACGCAGCTGCTCTTTTTTAAGAACATGCCATTTCTGTTTTAACGGAATTTAAGCTACATTATTATCCGATCCGTTTTGAAGAAAAAGTGTTTTAAAAATGGCTTAATATTAGCTTAATTTATTCAGTTTTCTAAAGCTAAGATGGTAAAACGTGACGTGACAAACGTGTTTAGTTGTAAAGATAGTATTTTCGTGACGCTACCTTTACGAATAAACAATCAAATAAAGTTAAAGTATTAAATTACGTTTCGAAACCACATTTTTTACAGATTAGTACATAAATATAATTCATATTTGTGACTGAAAACCCCAAGTAAACTGATGAAACTAAATGTTGGGCCATATATGCAATATTCAAAAAAATACTTTCTATCTATTATTGAGGAGGAAAATTGTTAGAACATGCTAATACATTTATGTGCACAGAACAAAAACAGCGTCCATTGAAATGTGCTCTAATTATCGCAGCCTTTATATTCAATGAGTAAACTAAACTCAACTCAATAACGCTTTAGTTGCGCTAAATCCGATCAGTTAGTAGTACATTTTTTTTATTTATTTCCTGTTCTTGTTGTAAATCTGAAAAATATCGTCCAAAACGACGCATCGTATGCGACAAAAAAAAAAGAAAAGTCCTGGCTCCATATGTACAAGACATTTCACACATTTCACAATTTCATTTACAACTTCACCGGTTGAACAGTTTTAATGTTGTAAACTCTCCAGGTTTAAATTACTTATTGTCGGTTATGAAATTTACTAATGGAATCACTCAATTATAAAGATCTCTCCAGATCTCGGACTAATTTCCGGAATTGACTACTAATTAGTACCTAATTGGTACGAAACAGGAAACTGACATAATCGATTTACGATTTATTTGTTGACTCATTTCTCACATCTCTGTTTTGTATTTTGCCTCCACATTGATGCGGGCGATACGAAATGCAAATTTATTCTATTCCAAATCTTTAACCGTAAAGTACATGGCGTTAGCGCAATTTAAATGACTATGCTATAAATCCTAGATAGTAATAGCAATAAATCCTAATCTTATTAGCAAATCTGTACAGGATGATTTAAAATTGAGGTCATTTTGCTGGAACTCTTGCTTGTGGTAGGTAGCAAACGCAAAAAAATAGTAAACATTATCCTTACAAAAATGGAAATCAAAAGAGCTGCAACAAAGCATTTATAATATTGTAAAGGAAATGGCCTGGGGTACTCACGTTTGGAATGAGGGGATCGAAATTCATGGTATTTATAAATTTTGCACCTGCTCTGGAGATTTCGAGAACCGTCTGGGTTACCTAGAGAAAACTATATAAGCGGCGACGAGAACCATGGGGAGTCAGTGAAGTGACAGCAGCGACTGAGTGCAGAAGAGGTTAAACCTCGCGAGTCGGAAGATCGAGTTTTCCGTCTGATATTGTTATTGTTTGTGAAGTTGACGGTAATTTTGAAGTTAGTTTGTTCCTGTTTGAAAGAGTTTGATACCCGGCCATCCACGGTACAATATAATTCTATTTTATAGTTTAAATATCGTATTAATATTGAATGAAAGTCAAAGTCCGAGGTATGAGGTTATTTAATTTGACCTATTGGAAAAATTGGAATTTAATTGGCGACGCGCTCATGGTGTACCCAAGTCGAGTCGAACGTGTATGGACGTACACTAGGCCTAGGTAACTCAGTTATTTTTCTGGAGTTGGCGCAATGCTGGGCGAATGGCACCAGCGCAGTAACACGGTCCTGTTGCTGGGATAATTTTGATGACTTTTTTTTTAGTTGTTTTTAGATTATTGGTGTTAAAAACTGACAATCTTCAGATTTTTTCTGCGAAATAATTAAAAATAAATTTTGTTAGAATACTCGCCCTCTTCGTCGCTTTGTAAAAAGTTCAGTAATCCGTTTTCAGCTTCGAATTTGGTCCCAAAATTCTAACAATTTTTTTATCAAAAGATGATCAAAAAAAGCTAGGTGTTAAAATTCCAGTCTCCGTCATCGGTAAGCGAGTTTTAACTCATTAGGGGATGTAATAAAACTTATTAACTCAAAGAGCGGCAACAACTCAAAAGCGCAACTCAACATAGTGTCACTCAGGCCTATGGTACACGGTAGGCGCGCAGAAAGTGCGCTTGAAATTCGTCGCATTCCATTGTTTGTCGGTTTTTTGACGGCAGATCAAAGTAAATCGCTACACAGCGGGGACGAGTTTATCTTTTGATACACCCTAACTGTATTAATTTTCCATCCAATCATACAGTGGTTCGCGAAAATCAGCTTACCTTAATAAAACTATGAATCCCGTCCTCATCTTTAAAATCAAAAAGATCTCAACTATTACAGAAAAAAATTAGATACATGAACTCAGATTGCTGAATTAATCGGTAATGGTAGATAAATACAGGGTGATTCAAAATTGTCGTCATTCCTCTGGAGGTTTTTAATAATTGTTATTAAAAACTGAGAAATTTGCAAACAACGATATCAGAATGGCGGCAACAATGCTTTTCAAGGTAATGTGCCCAATTAATATTACGTAAATACCGGTTGTTTTGTAATTAATAAAAATTCCGGTAACCATGGAACTATACAAAAAGTAACAATAAAAAATAGACAAAAATAAACGGTCAATTTAACAGAATTTGTTGAACGGCGGAACGTACTTTTTCGAAACGTCAGTTATTGTCCTCATAACCTCGAATCATTAATTTGTTTCCAAATTACAAGTAAACACAAATTTGAGACCTTAACTCTTATTATCGACTCTTCTCGAGCAGCTTCTCGTATTCGGTTAATTAACACCAGCTTAATTTGTACCGGTGGTCAGTAAGCGATTGGTTTTATGTGTCCTTGTGCTCTGTTTATCTTACATACGTGGTAGGAATGTAGCCCTTCCTCGGTATTTATTTGGTGCTTGGGAAAGTGTCAGTGGTTGTGCAATGCTCTCAGTGCCCCTGGAAGGGTCTGCTGCATTTATGTCCAATACTTGTTCCTCTGTGTCTGGGACCCGGACATCTATTGTCGTCCACTATCTTCCTGGAGCCAATCTTCCAATATTTCTAGCCCTTTGTTAGGGTAAGTTCTTACAGCTTTTGCTATGTTACTGTGGCATTTCTCCAGAACTAAAAGCATATCCGCAAATTCGTGACAGAAGCTATTAGACAGAAGATCGAGTAAGTCACAGTTTGACAAATTATTGTTATTAATGACAAGGGTTATCCACCTGTAACTATCTGTTGATGACAAAAGAATTATTGCCGGTTTGACTTATCATCAAAAAATTGTAGAAGAGAATTTTTTTAATATCATAAATTTTCGTAATTTGAATCAAAGATCGTCATGTTTGTCTTCGAACGCTTAAGTATTTCAATGTACTTCCAATTAAACATAGAACAATCTTAAAATAATGCTTAACAACAAAGTTGAAATTCGATTTTCAACTGTTAATATCATCTAGGATATATATACAATATTTTTCTCGTACTTTCCAAGTGAGCACCTATTACCGCTTAAAATGAATGACGCCAGTTTTGAATCACTCTGTATGTAATTTTATCGATCACATTAGATAAACGACTCGTAGCCTCATGTCTGAAGAATTTTTCTGCAACAGTATACATCTTGAACGCAAAAATCGTGTTTGGAACATGTTTAAAGTATCTAAACTATACTTGCATCCAAACGCAAAAATCGGTATGTGTTTTGTTGGTTTGTGTATTTAGTAATAATTAGCGCAAAAATGTGCATAATAAGATTTATTGAAGGATCTGAGCATCACTTCACAAAAACATATGTATCTCTGCATGTAAAAGGTTTGTTTTTTCTTTTCCGAAATCCAATAGACGAATACAGACACTGGGCTATGGAGTCTATTGGTGTGTAGTGTATAACCAGTAATAGTAGTTTATAACCAATTATTTGGCCTACTACGGAGGCCACTGTAATGAATTCGCAGCTACAAGTATCCAGCACAAATTCCTCGACCGTCTATTTTGCGTGGTTTTTAGGCACTGGTATGAAGCTGGTGAATGTAGCGTTGAATATTGAATAATTGAAAAACCAAAGTTTCATCATTTATTAAATATTTCCATTAATTTATAATAACATCAATTTTTAAGCACCATCCCCAGTATTGTCATATTCCCAAAATCTGTTGTACGTGTTGTCATTCAAGTCTCTCGAAGTGTCATTATTTCCGCTATAGGCTCTCTTGCTGGTTGATGTGGCGTATGGTGCATCTGCATTGATAATTAAATCAATTTCAGTGCTTCTAATGACCAGCTGACCGTTGGGCGAGCTGTCGGCCACATAATCACCAGCAGATACGCCTGCATCCCATGCTCGAGCCAGATTCACTTTTTGTGAAGATTTGAACGTAGAATCGGCTAATATTAAAGTAAACGCATCAATTCTGCTGTTCGATAATATCGAATATATTGTATAAAACAATATATGGAAAACAGGTTGATCTCTTCTGGGACATACCTGTTATAACAGAGTTGATAGCCAAAAATCCATAACTATTTCCAGGAACAGTACTGGGTGCGAAAACTATGGCTCCTGACGGATGTCTGTCTGAAACTGCCTTAAAAGTGACTCCAGTGAAAACAGTTGCAGCTCCTCCAAACACAAAGTCAACATCTCCTTCAATGTACGTGTTATCAATATAGACGCGCTGAACTACCCCGTCGTTGTTTGAGCCAGCATAAAGAGTATCCTACAAGTAATTGACTTGATGTGATTGCATTACTTTGTGTGAACGCACATTTGAGCTGTTCAAATTTCTGTCAAACAGAAACCAAATTTTCTTTAAATTGGGAGTTCACTTCATGTATTTTATGTATATGTACACGACATTAAATTAATTGCGCTTATTGTATGAAAGCAGAGTTTCCTTTATTTTCAAGGTAGAATTAACTGACGTGAGGCCCGCATCCTGCAATTAGTCACTTGTGTGCCAAAATTCCACACTGTACATCTCAGCTATTCTGGGTTATTCTGATACTCTATATAATTAATTCATGGTAAAGGCATAAAAACAAAAATTTTCTAACCTGTCGAGATATCAGATTCAAAGTGGACAATCTAACTTTGTCAGCATCCGTTTTCAAAGCCACAGATTGTCCTACTCCATTTGAAGTATAAGTGTTGGTGACTTGTAAGTTGTAGACCTGCACATTACTAGCTGTAATCCAGAAAATCGAACTACAAGATGTGCCAATAGTATCAGATTTTGAAGCGCAGCTTTTGTAGAGCTTGTAACCTGGATCTCCAGAACTATATCTACTTCCATCAGGATTTACCTTAAAATGATGTGATTTGGTATTCTTGATATGGGCAGTACTACTGCTAAGTACCTGATCAATATAAGCGGAAACAGTCATATCGGCAGGTTGGCTAAGAATAATACTGACGTTAGATGGACTGCTGCCGGTACCATAAATCGTTAGTGGGACACTTCCAGTTACATATACAGATTGAGCGTAGGTTCCTGGATCAATGGCAATATATTTCCTTGAGGTTCCACCTACGAACAATTCGACCCTTCATATCATGAGCTAAAATATGTGAATCCAGAGAAGGTATGTACCAGCATTTATAGCAGCATTGACAGCTTGTTGAATATCAGTGTACGTTTGGGTGCTTCCGACAGAGTAGTCGGGTGTGGACGGAATACTGATGCCTTCAACGCTCCATCCTTGTAGGTAGTTTTCTTCGGACAAGATTTCCGCTTCGCTGTTCGATAACACAGGACGAGTTGACGTTCCGGGGTAGGTCTGATGAGAGCCATATGAAGTCATCACCAAAAGCGATGACAATAGTGCAATTGTTAAAACGCCTAAAAGTTGCAAATGTAAGTAAACACTTTGCTCCGTTGAAGAAAAGTTTTTGATTAACTCTTCTTCTTAAAATTAGTTTGACTCGAACTGCGTTTACATCAGTTTTGCAGTTATAGTTGTATGTCTGAATTAATAGTAAACCATTTTCGAGACATTATTAGAAAGTTCAGTATTTACGAAATGTTACGTCTTCAGATATGGCAATTTTATAATTTTTGGAATATTTTAGGTACAGCATCAATTTGTATTATTAGTACCAACTTGTTTACAGTACAAATTGTTCAGGATAGCTGCAAGTGTTTCATCTCGTTACTCAAATGGAACAATTAAACAATTGTTGGTGGCTCAAATCACAGAAACCTTAAGCAGGGAAGCAGGGCAGCAATAATCAGAATGTGCATTCACTGAATTCATTGGAATTGGTCATGTATATTATAAACGTAAATTTTTATTTAATTCGTTCGTATACTTTTGTTACAAACGGTCAATTGACGAAACATGCGAGTGGACGACTACTAAACGCAATGTTTACCTATTTTATCAGGCTTTGGGAAATACGTCAAATATACGTACAATGTATGTCATGAACTTGTTTTAATTTGACAATTTAATTAATTTTATTTCAGTTTTATAAATCGTGGTCTTCGGTTTTCCAAATCGCTCAGCTACTGTCGGCTGGCCATTTTTCCTCGATTACTATAATTATTTGAGATTTTTCAAATACTTTCGAATGTGGCATTTTGATAATTTGGTAAGTTTTCTTCTTGAATAGCCGCCTCCCCACGGAGGTTGGCGATCCATCTGGCAATCATAATTTTTGGATTTTTAGCTTTAAAGTTATCTTTCGATGTGCATCCTAACCATCATTCAACCAGGAGTTTTGCCTTCTGCCAACCGATCTTCTGCTTTCAAATATCAGTCTTTGCTACGTTTGCCTATGTTGAATGTGAGCTGATGTGGGCTTGACATCAATTATAATACATTCACAAATCGTTTCATGAAACTTTGAAATATGACCTTTACAAGTACGAAAAAATTTCAATATCTTCATGTGCGAGTCGCGTTTAGCTAGTCGTACTGAACAGACATGTGAGCGAGAGCAGTGAATTCTTTATCATATTTTTTACCAAACATTCATACAAAACTACTTTTCTATCGAAATATTCCAAGAATTTGTCCAATTTACAACAGTTAAAAATTGAAAAATTGAGTAAAATCAAACGACAAACCCACGGTAGATAATACCGTTGGTTTAAAGTAAATCATGAGTAACGAAGAGACTTTAGGTAATTCTCCCTAGGAAGGAGGAGGAATTGAAACAGACCCATACCCCAAAAAAATACCTCCAAAAATTATCACTCGAAGCCAAAACAGTGCACATGAATTGCAAATAGGACAAAGGCCTAAAAAACGCCTTATACAATCAGATAGTCCAATAGAAGACAGAAGAAATTCCTCATTTACAATCGAACAAGCAAATCGCTTTTAGCCACTGTCAACCCAACTAGATGAAGAAACACCACAAGAGCACAAACCACCACTTATCTTTATCCCGGACATAACGAACATAAATGTCTTTCTCATCGATTTAGGAGCGTTAAATCTCAGGCTTTACCTACAAAACCATAAGCAATAACCAAATTAAGCTAAACTCATTGCCAATAGATACTTATAGGAAAATAATTGACCACCTAAATGATATTAAAGCGCCTTATCATACGGGGGGTGCCTTGTAATTAAAGCAAGAAAGAGCATATGGTATAGTTATCAGGAATTTGCATCCCACAACATCTACTGAAGAGCTAAAAAATAACATTGAGCAACAGGGACATATTTTCAGAAATTTAATTAATACAATATACAAAACCACAAAGAAAGGAATGCCTCTATTCTTTGTAGACTTGGAACCGAGCGCAAACAATCAAGAGATCTACAAAAGAACAAATCTTGTAGGAGCCTCCGTTGCTATAGAGCCACAAAAGAAAGCTAATCAAATAATACAATGCACTCGATGCCAGCGATATGGTCAAACAAAAGGATTCTGCAACACGCCTCACAGATGTGTCAAATGCTCTGGAGATCACGATACCACCAACTCCTCCAAAAGCAGGGAACTTCCAGCCACATGCGTATTATGCAGTGGCCATCACCCAGCCAATTACAAAGGTTGCACAGTATACAAAGAAATACGAAAACGCAGGAACCAAAATGGAAATATGGAAAATCAGCCAACTCAAACAAGAAGCCCAGCAAGCAACACCGCAGGAAATAACATATCTCAGACAGACCCGTCTCAAGAAACCCGAAAACTCGAAAATCCTACCCCAAGTACTACAAGGAAATACTTCAGAAAATGCCACAAATGAAAACAACTTACCAAATTCAAATTATGAAGCACAAGCTTTTGCCAGACTTGAAAACATATTGACTAAACAAGCTGAACAGCTTTCAAAACTGCTCAATGTAATTACCACGCTCATAAATAAATTCTGCAAAGGGCCATAATATAATACATATAGCGTCATGGAATGCTAATGGACTGGGGCAACACCGCCAAGAAATTGAGCTATTCCTAAAAACAAATAATATAGACATCTTGCTTATATCAGAAACCCACTTTAGAACAAAGTCCTACTTTAAAATCAAAGGTTACACAGTTTATGACACTCAGCATCCAGACGGAAACGCCTATGGAGGAACAGCAGTGATAATTTAAAACAATATCAATCATAATGAAATGGAAAAATACCAACTAGACTATCTACAAGCCACTACTGTTAAGATTCAAACAACGATGAGTAAAATTGCTATCTCAGCTGTATATGGTCCTCCTAAACACTCGCTCAGTCATGAAGGGTTGCATAATTTCTTCAAAACACTGGGAAAAAAGTTCATTGCCGGAGGAGATAATAATGCAAAAAATACTGATTGGGGCTCAGGACTAACGACAACCAGAGGAATAGTGCTTAACACCCACATAATAAATTATAACCTTGCAACAATATCTACTGGACATCCTGCCTACTGGCCAACATCATGGAAAATCCCTATCTTACTAGATTTTTTTGTAACCTCAGGACTGAATAGTTCCTACTGCCACACAAAACCTAACTACTTATTATCGTCGGACCATTCTGCAATATAATTATTCCTTAGCAGTAGGCTGCTATTTAAACAAAATCCACATCGGTTATATAACTCAAAAACAGACTGGGAATCGTTTAGACGACATCTGCAACACACAATTAGCCTCAATATGAAGCTTAAAGACCAAGAAGATATTGAATCTGCAATCGAAGTACTAAACAGACATATACAAGAGGCAGCAACTAAGGCTACTCCTAAACACCAATAATCAGTATTTCTATCCAAGCAGAATCATGAAACTAATTCGAGAAAAAACAAAAAAGAGGAAAGAATGGCAAAACAACAGAAGACCCCAAGATAAAGCAAAGCTTAACGCAATCTCAAGGCAATTAAAGCGCACACTCAAAGAATTAAAAAATAAACAATTCCAAGATTTTCTCACTAACCTTTCACCGAGACCAAATCACACCCACTCAATATGGAAAGTTACCAAAAAATTCAACAGAGCGCAAATTGAAATCTTTCCGATCAAAACTACTCAAGGATGGGCGAGAAGTGATGGAGTGAAAGCCGAATTACGTGCCTACCACCCCGCAAAAATCTATGAATCTGAACAAAATGACACCAATGATGAGTGGGTAAACCATATTAATACATTCTTGCAGTCCCCACTACCAATGGATAAACCGTTAAAACCGTCAAGCCCAGGGGAAGTAAAAAATATAATCATGTCCCTAAAAAACAAGAAAGCACCAGGCTGTGACTTAATCATGGCAGAAATTCTGAAAAACTTAAATAAGAAAGCAATAATCTACATCAATCAAATATTCAATTCTATTTTTAGAACAACCTGCATTCCAAACCAATGGAAAGTATCCAACATATTAATGTTACTAAAACCAGAAAACTGCTCTCAAAAGTTTTTGAAAAAGTCCTCTAGCACGAGTACAAGAACGTGAAATCTTCCTCAAACTAATTGCGGACCACCAATTTGGATTCAGAGGCGGTCACACGACAATGGACCAAATCCATAGTCACTAACAAAATAAGAGGAAGCTTCGAGAAAAAAGCATACTGTCCAGCTGTATATTTGGACATTAGACCGGCTTTTGACAAGGTCTGGCACAAATGCCTCCTGTACAAAACCAAAAATTGGTTTCCGCAGTTTTATCTATTAGTCCAATCTTATCTCAGTAACAGAATTGCTCAGGTAAAACTAAATGAGAATTACTCAAACTTCTTTAGCATAAGCTCGGGAGTTCCGCAGGGATCTGTACTGGGATCTTTCCTATACACTATTTTCACATCGGATCTAACACAAAACGATAACATTCTGACAGCTACATTTGCGGACGACACAATACTATTGAGTTCAGGTAGCGATTTAAACAGCGCAGCTGAGACACTCCAAGGACATGTTAACGAAGTTAAGAAATGGATGGCCAAATGGAAAATTAATATCAACGAGGAAAAGTGCACGTAGGTGCTATACGCTTTAAGAAGAGGATCAGGTCCTCGTATAAAAATCAACAAAACCTATCTCAACTGCCAATCATGCAAGATATCTGGGGATGCACCTAGATAGAAGACTCACCTGAAAGATACACATCTAGAAGAAAAGAAAATAATTGAAAATAAAAACAAGGAAGATGCGTTGGTTGATAGGTAGAAGGTCCAAGCTTAGTCTTGAAAACAAGATCTTATTATACAAAACGGTTCTAAAACCAATATGGAGCTATGGTATAGAACTATGGGGAACAGCTAGCACCAGTAATATCGGAATACTGCAGAGATATCAGTCCAAAACGTTAAGACAAATAGTCAACGCGCCATGGTATGTAAGTAATTACACCATCCACAACGATCTGAAAGTCTCTACCATCCGCCATGAAATAAGCCAAAAATCAACAAGGTACCACACCAGAATTGGAAGACATCCAAACCCACTTGCTACTCACCTCTTAGATAACATGCCAATACGACGACTCAAGAAAGCCCTACCGATCGACCTACCGGAAAGATTCCTTCAAATACAATCTAGTCGACTAGTGAATGTGACTATTGTAAAAAACCTTCTTAATGCTCTAATGTAACATTGGCAGATTATTGATTGCTGTAAATAAAGTAAAAAAATAAAAAATATTCATATGCGATAATTGATATGAAGTTGTCATCGACCGTGTTATTCTATAGAGTTTTTCGATTATAATTGGAGGTGATTTAAGAGAAGTACTAAAGATAAGTGTGCTAAAATGTAATTGCCTTATTTAAATTACCTTCATCTGATTTTAATATTACTATATGATTTATATGTTGATATCTTAAGTGAGGAATGTTGATTATTTCTAGGATACTCGTTTTATGTAAATTTATTTATTTATCAGTTCCATCGCAAAATAAGGATGAGACTATTTGCATTAAAAAAAAAATGCGGATTGGAAAAGGATTGCGTAAATACTAAAAAAGGTAAAAAACTACAACTACATATGTCAGGGGGTCCGTTTGCAAACGAAACAGACCCAGTTTTAAGCACCTTATGAAGAAACTCTCGGACAGATAATTTTTGTTTTCGAAGGGTACCGTTTCTGGCGAATTAATCTGCAATCCCTAAATTATTTTTCAGATGAGGGCCATTCAACCTCCTTTTCCATTTATAAGGCTTTAAGTTTAAACACTTGCGCTCTTAAGGGGTTGCAGATATTTTTCAGTTTTATTCGACAAAAAATTGTCCCTCTCAAAATAAGGTTTATGTGTTCGAGAGTTTTTTTATAAAGTTTTTTGCGCTCAAAACTATATCAGAATTTACAATACCGTGTAAACAATTCTATACGCCTATGAATTTTAACATAAGCAGATAGCTCACAGACGTAATGATTAAACAGTCAAGAACAATGTTAAAACCAACAGCAAACCGTTTAGTGAAAATATTACCGTACTTCCCTAGCCAAGAAATAACATCTATCGCATGGATACTCTGGAATGGCATAAATTGGCTTCGGTATTAAAGGTATTAAAATTTACAGCGCTTTTACACGTTTTTCGTCTACTTGAAAATTCCAAGACAAACATTAAAAAGTACTTCTTAATAATGCTTTAATAAAATATGAAGCGGGGTTTCATCGAACAATCGAAGTTTTTTAAAATGTTTTATGTTATTTGCCGTTGAATTTGGAAATAAATGTTTAACAGAACTAGGTTTTTACTTTACTTTCTATTTTAAAGTAGACATATTTAATTTCACATCATAAGAATATTAAAGTTACTAATAAGTACTGTTGAATAGCAAGTACCTACAACCTGTGTTACTTTTTTACCTCTCTTCCCATTTGTATGAAACTTAAATAAAAAAATAAATGATGTCAACATTCTAATTGCGAAAAGTAAATCTCAATACAAAACGCCTTTTTCATTGAAATTCTCTCATTCTCTCATTAATAATGGCGGTGACCAATAATCGCGTATTAATTCCGTGGAATAATAACAGTGAACAATAATCTGTTGAATTGGAATAACGTTTTAATTTATATTCCTCAAGCAATAGTCTATTTCTTCACAGGTCTGGTGTTGTTTTTACGGTTGTCCAAAAACTCCAACTCCAAAATACAGGTACATTTGTACAAGTACCTACCTACTGTATTGTAAAATTGGGTATTTAATAACTTTTTTTCTCTAAAATTGCTAAATTTCAGCTTGAATGTGAAACGAACTTGAACTCCAAAATGAATACCTATGTGGTTAAAATTAATTTTACACCTAATAAAATCACATACAGAGTGTCTCGTGACGTAAGGTCAATAAACTTAGTATAGGTAAGTTTCGAGGTTCAAAGTATCTAATAAAGTTTTGCAATGACTGCAACCTACGTAATAGATTATTATCATCTGAATCATATCGGCTGCTTAAAAAATGCCTCTTTTAAGGCCTTATGATGTTGTTTGGTAAACCTAATTTCTGATGCAACCATACAGATAATAATATAAACATGGGAAGTCTGCAGGTTTTAGAAGCCAGGGGTGTTGTGTTTTCTACGTAGGTCCAACAAATTTGTTGATTGAAGAATTGTTCTACCAGTAAATAAATATGGACTGTGAAACATTTTTCATAAATGAATAGGTAAATGAGCGCGCTATAAATAATTCCACAGCAGACATTGACTGAAAACATGTGCAGATGAGTTTTATCATACTGTTTGTTTACGGTTTTGTACTTGGATAATCTCGAATGAACCGGTTAATCTCGAGTTTAAAACAAATTTAATGTTAACGTCGACAGAAATCCCGGTAATTAACAATAGAAGAACGCGTAACATTATTAAATGTTACTATAAAAGTGGTGATTCTTCTGTATCAACGTTTAGGGCTTTACGGGCAGATTACGGTCGACATAATCGACCCACAGATCAAACAATGTCGAACCCAGTGGAAAAGATTGAAATACTGGATCGGTTACTGATAATTGTAAGGCCTTTGCATCATCGCAACATTCGTTGAGCTGCAAATATCCCTGTTTTTGCTCAAAGTGTGGAGGAAAACCCAAATTCGTCGATTCCCCGACGTGCTCAACATTTGGGCTTGTCTTACGGCACATTGTGGCGAACTTTGGAAACTGACTTAATAACTTAAGCGTCAAGACTATGGGCAGCGCAGAACACACGCAAATTAGGTAATTGAACAACAAGCAGTTGATGATGAGTTTTTGAACCGAATTTTCTTTAGCAAATGGGCTCATTTTTGTGTGCATTATGGTCCGGTGGTGTTATTGGCCCGTGTTTTTTTTAACACGATTAAGGAATAGCAATAACAGTCAATTCTGAGCGCTATGCACGCATGTTAACCGGTTATTTTTGGAGAGAAATTGATGATGATGACCTGGAAGACATGTGGTTCCAGCAGGATGGGGCAATGAGTCACATAAAACTTGCAGTTAGAGCCCTATTGCAAAAGAAATTTCCAGGATGCATAATTTCGAGATTGAGTGATGTCAATTGGCCCGGAAGATCCTGCGACTTAACACCGTTAGATTTCTTTTTGTTGGGCTATTCCAAAGATCGTGTTTACGCCAACAATTCTCAAACTCTGCAGCAACTGAAAGCCAATAGCAGTGAAGTTATGACCAAGATATTACCGATAATGTGCCGAAAAGTCATTCAAAATGACCTCAAAAGGATTGAGGCCTGTAGGAGGTCCCGTGGAGGACATCTAAATGATATTGTTTTTCACATATAATGGTAAGGTTTAATATTTATATTGAATTAAAATTTTCGTCTCCATCTGAATATCTTGTGTGTTTTTTTACTTTACTTTCCCAAACATAAGATGGATAACCCTGTATTATATTCATTATAAATAAACTGTCTCTTTCTACAGCAACTTCTTACGCGAATGCTATTTAATTAACGTAATATTCGGACCTTAACCAAGGGAACATGCTTTTCTGGATAATATTGAGATTAACATCGTTTCAAATATTAACTTTAACGTATTCACTAGGTAGACACCTTGCGTCATGAGACACCCTATATTGATGAGTTTTAGCGAAGTTTGGTATTTATTGAAGTAAATTACCAGTTTCCATTTTAACCAATCATCAACAGTTCTCCTTTAAAGTATATGTATGTCATATTAGCTTATATCCAAAAAGATTATAGTTACGACTTAAAAATAATGTTATTGATTAATGTAAATCCCCATAGGAAAATTTGGAAACCTTTGTTTTAAATGAAGTGCCACTTTTGCTTATCAATTCAAGTGCTATTTGAAAGGCATTTTGTTTTTATACAACAATAAAAGTTGATTAAATAAATCGCATACTTTCGTTTAATTAAATAAATCTTACAATGTAATATTTAAACTTACATGTTTACTTCATTATGCATCTTATATAATAGATATACAGAATAAGCAAGTCTGATTTTATGCACTTTTGGTATCCAATAATGCAGTTTGGCAAATAATCATATTTAAAGTAAGCAATTACCAAGAACACATAGCAGAGAATATTTGGAATTAGTTACAAACTATCTGAAAAATTTTAACGCCAACAATTTTAATAAAAATTAACATAAGTATAAAACAGTCAAACGTTTCGAGACGGAATACCCAACAAAAAGATGTTGAGTAGCTATCCTCACACCATTAAGCAGAGTTGCTTACTTTGTGTCACTTTATTTTACTTCGCCCCTTACTATTTTTAGTCAGGAAAATTTAGTTGTCAATTGAATATTTTAATAATTTTTTGTACAAAAACATTTCCAAATATTAATAGACAACATCTCCCAGTTTATACAAATATGTATAAGTATTTCGTTTTCATACTCAAATAATTTTCTATTCTTTTTGGCAACTCACCCATTTGATTTCTTTAGTATCCAGCACAGCCAATCAATATACACTGACTTTTGGCATATCCTTCATTAGTTTTATACACGATTGCAAATTATCAATAAATTAGTTAGCTGATAAAATCTGAAGTTTCAACAATATTATATAAAAAGCAGGATACACTTATGAATAGATTTGTTTCCCCACATGGAGTTTTTGTTATTATCTAGTTTATTATTGATAGGGATAAAGGCACCTACAGAACTAGCGCGAGTAAGAAATTAGGTTTGATGTTTAATACAAAGCGCACAAGAAAATACTATTGGCCTAAACTACTTTGTAAACAGGTAGAAATGAGCTGCTTATCAATAAAACCAAAGAAAATAATGCTTCAGTATAAGCAATATTGTTAATGTCTGGATTCTATGTTACCTCCAGTTAAATATAACTAAAATATTAAAACTTAATCCAAATTCCATGTGCCATATGGAAGCCATTACAACTAGAAAAAGTCAAATAATTCGATTCGATTTTTCGATAAGCCCTCGCATTCATGAAAGGAATTATGGAAAAAAGGCTTTATTATACTCGCCAACTGCAACGTAAGATAAAATACCCCTAAGTAAAAGCAGGGAATATGTTCGCTTTTATTCTCGTTAGTGGTAGATAATCCGTCTTTTCAAGAACACTTATCTTAGAATTTAACGAATAAAATTTCATTTCAGTGTAATAATCAATACGTGATGCCGAATTGGCGATGCGATCACCAGTAATAGTCAGAACCTATATAAAACGTAATTATTTTATATTTATTTATTACAACCCGACGAGTTCGAAATGAAACGTTAAAGTCTAAGAAAAGGTGGGATGTTGAAATTGAAAATAGTACAACTGATAGCCAAAGAAGTTACACGAATAAGTTTGTGGACAGCAATTGTTAGTCTACTTTATATTTTATAAAAAAATCGGCTGGTTATAATCAAAGTAATTTCAATAATTTAAAAGTGATCCAACCATATTGTAGACAGAAATTTTGAAATGCTGACGGCTGCTACACGAATATAAATGTTATTCAACGAGATAGAAATGATTGTGAATTGAGGAAACGTGGCGAAGGGCGTACAGAAAGACCGAAAACACCAGAAAATGTCCAATGGAAATAACAAATTTTAAATGTTGTTGAGGAAGATCAACCAACATCAAGTACGCGAGTGATTGGAAGTGAATTTCCGATTTAAGTCCGAAAATGTAGACAACCTTTCTTCGAGAAATCCGAGAAAATAGGTGTACCTTTTTCATAACCAATGTGTTGGTTCTGCTAAATGCTTTTCCCTTTGCATTGCGCTTCATAAAGGTCGTATTTCATCTCTTTGGTAAATCGTGTCCAACCTTGTTTCAGGTTTCATATCTTAGAGTTTACATGGTTTATTGCATCTTTGTATTTCTCATAATTATTAAGCATCTTATTACTACAATTGTAATGGCGTCCGGGAAATTGAAGAAAAGAATAAAAAAGAGAAAGAAAAGAACAGAAGAACGGGAGAACTTGAAAGAAGAACAGAAGAGACGTCCCTGCTCGGGCGCCATTTTTGTAATGGCGTCTGGGAAATTGGAAAAAAAAGAAAATAAAACGGGAAGAACGGGAAAACTTGAAAGAAGAACAGTAGAGACGTCCTTGTTTGGGCGCCATTTTTGTAATGGCGTCCGGCGGATCGGAGAAAAAGAAAAACGTTGTTCCGTGAACTTACCTTTTAAATTTAGGGTTTAATACTGGTAGCCTAGAATGTTGGGACTTAAACGGGCTTTCGGAAATGTCGGGCGCCAGCCATCAGGATTTACGTGGTGATGGCCCCACAGCTAGGGTAGCTTTTATACAGTGGAGAAAAGAAAAACCAAGAAGTCAATGCGCAGTCGGCACAATTAAACAATAAAAGGTTTATTCATTAACAGATTCGAAATTATATTGACAAAATAAGAAATTAAACAACGCCCTGAAACGGGAACATTACGGCTCAACAAGAAAATAATCTAGCCTTAAGAAGAGGTAAATGGTTGTTGCCTACAATTTGTCGACAAGATAACGGGGCTATTTTTAGGCGTTTTGGTATTTATTGCGATACAAATAATGTCCGGACTGGCGATTTATATTTGACAAAATAAAATGATACTTGCGAATGATATTAAAATTAGTAAATAAATGCAAAGGTTACAGACTTGCAGACTGCAGAAGCTTATCGGAAATAGGCGAGAAGAGGTGCGTAACGGGGTGGTTGGTGCACGGGACGGCTTTTAATTTAGCTGTGGTGAACGATAATTATTTGTGACAATTAATTCTTGTCCCGGCGAGTGACGATAATGCGGGCTTGGGCCGAGAATAAGTAAAAAAAAATAGAAAAGTTAACGTACTCGGAGCGAGTTTGATCCTGGCAAAACCGCCGAGGTCCGGAGGAACAAAGAGTTTGCAACACTCTTCCCCCCTGCCCGCAGAGGCCTATACCCGGAGTAAAACGAGCAGACCCTATCCTGGTAAAACCGCCCAGGTTAGGTGGAACAGGGAGTGGGCTCCCATTCCCCCTGCCCTCGGAAGCCTATAGGAGGAGCAGGTCCGATGCTAATGATGGGTACAACGAGAGAATTTGGTCTGGCGGGTAGTTGAGAGAACGGTGGGTAGAGCGACAGGACTCTCGGTGAAGCCGGGACAACCGTTTCCTAAACCTTTTTTTTTTATTGTTTGCCCGGCGGCGGCTGGACGATAAAACCCCAACACCCAGTGTCCCGTGACACCAGGTAGTGTTGGATTTCTACCAACTAAAAAACCCCCGTTTTTGACTGCAAGTTTCCAGGAGTTATCCTTTAAAACTTGTGGTCTTCTGTAAGAATGGTTCAGCTCTGGCATCCGTATGCCTTCACCTCTCATTCTCTTCATGCTAGCTAACTGCTAGAATAGGCATCTTACTAATTTGACACAAGTACTACACTACTCAATGCTACTTCTATCACTCTATCCTAAAAGTTATACACTTACAGCACTCTACAGTTTACTGCTTGTACCTATTTATAGCCCTATTGGGCCATCTGGTGTCTGGGCCTTTTTTTTCTGGGCCCATTGTCCTCTAGGGAGTAAGCTACGGTATTTCGTAGCTCCTCGAGGGGGTGGTTTTCGGTCTTCTCGAAGGGCGTGGCTGCTTATCTTTTCAGTAGATCTCGCAGTGGCTCCCACTCTGTAAATTTGACTATTACGTACAAACCAGGGAGCATCTATGGCCAGCATGGAAGCACGGGTAGCCGGCGGGTGTCCGCAGGGATTAGTTTTGTCGCCTCTGCTGTGGAGCCTGATGGTGGACCGGCTCCTGTCGTCACTTGAGGGGAAATGTTTCTACGCACTGGGATATGCGGATGATATCTCCATTGTTGTACAGGGAAAGTTTGGAGACACTGTATCATCATTGATGCAGCAGGCGCTAAACATCACCGAA